TAGGATTTTTTAAAAATGTTTTTATTTTCAGCATCATTACTCCAGTCTTCAGTGTCACATGATCCTTCAGAAATCATTCTAATATGCTGATTTGCTGCTCAAGAAACATTTATTTTTATTATCAATGTCGAAAGCAGTTGCTTAATATTTTTGTGGAAACTGTGAAACATTTTTCCAGGATTCTTTGATGAATAGAACGTTCAAAAGAATGACATTAACATGAAATAAAAATATTCTGTATCATTATAAATGTTTATGTCCTTGCTGAATGAAAGTATTAATTTCTTTAAAAAAAAAAACTGACTTCATACATCCACTAAAAATCACCAAAAACAGTTATTTAAAGGAAAAGTTAAAAAGGCTTCAACATCATGTGTTTGATTTTTTTTCTCTCTATCTAATGCAATGGCATTCACATTTTCTTAAGTGTGACTCAATTACCAAACACATTTTTAGGGCCACTGAATATTACAGCACAATATGTGACCGTGACAGAAACACAAAGCAGAAATCAGCATAATTGCAAGAGGAGCAGTCTGCCTCCTTATTAGAACGTCAGGCGAGGAAAGATTTAAGCTTAGCTCTGCGCTGATCCACCGAGAACCCACGAGTTGAAGAAAACACGGAGGTTTCAAATATCCCCATCGGTCAGGTCTAATAAATAACAAGGGGTGAAGCTGTGTGTGTTTAATACAGCTCCAATCAAAGCCAACCCAGCTGCCCTTTAAAAAGCACTGATAAATGACATATGGTATAAATGCTGATATCTCCCATCATACTGTGCCTTGAAGGGCATGAGAGCAGACAGAGAGAAAAGAGTGGATGACTTTGACAAAGATAGTGAAGGAAGGGCGTACAAGCAATGAAAATGGGCTAACCAGGAAAAGAGATTCCTGCAACAAATAAGAGAACGGGTGCTGATGTAGAGAGGCTCGAGTTTGTAAAATTTCATGTTAAATGGCATGAGCCATCGCGGGCCCTTGGGAAAAGGACGTGTGTAATTTTTTCTGCCATCTGAGGTGAGAATAACCATGAATGATTGCTCCGCATTACTGTATGGCGTAGTCAGGAGAGCACAGCTGTCACCAGCTATTAAATCCACTTCTGCACGGACTGGTGTGGAAAAAAGGAGACTCGTTACAATGCGAGATATGTGCATGATAGCCTGTTCTGTCTGAACGAGATGAGAGGAGATGCTCGTGTTTATGGATATGCCCAAATCTCATCAGACAGTGTTCACTGCGTTCATCGCGGTGGCCATCTCTTTCAAGTTTCTCATCATTATTAAAAACTACAATCCCAGAATCACGTGAGCCTTTGTTCTGCGTCTCCCTTCCTGTCTTTCTCCTGTACGATCTTGCCATCACTACCCGTGTGCTGCTTGATCAGTCCAGAAGGGAAGGCAGGAGTGACCAGGTTTCATTCATTTCTAATCCGCAGAGGGAATATGAGCCTGGCTTTTCATGTTGTTGTGCTGCGATTCTAGGATCAATATACAGCAAGCTGCTTCTGTTGTCAATTGAAGAATCGATCCTGGTGAATGATGACAAGGCCACATTGCTAAAGAAAATCAGATTCCTTTACAGACGATCAAACATTCTTTCTAAACATTTTTCCAGCTAGAGAGAAACCTTAAAAGTGAAAACCGAACTGAGGCTTCACAACATTACACACACAAAAGACTGCTCTTGAAACTTAGCCACAGTTCTGTCCAGTTTAGCTGAATTAGTAGAAACAACAAACACCACAACTAACTCAAACTAGTTCCAATCTGCATAAACATCACGAGGTAATGGGTTAATATAACTTTGAGTAGTTTTGTCATTATTTTAGTATTTTATTCTGTTTTCTCTGTAATGCTATTCTGTTTTGGTACATTCTATCACTACTCAGTTGAAACCCAGCAGTGATTCCTAAAGCATCATGTGACGCTGAAGACTGGAGTAATGACGCTGAAAATTCAGCTTTGCATCACAGGAATAAATAATATGTTTTAAACATAGTCAGATTATTTTGAACAGTAATACTTTTTCCAAATTTTACTGTTTTTACTGTATTTTTAATTCAATATATATATATATATATATATATATATTTGAATGTTTGAGTATATAGAGGAAAAAAAATAGAAACTTGATAGAAAGTAAATATTTTACACATACTATGTTACACATAATATTTTTCTTTTTCACATTGCAAATGGATCTTTATACAAAAAATAAATAAATAAATGAATTTATGCTCATACTGTATATTTTAAGTATATTCTGCAAGGGAATCATATTTTTGGGTCCAAAAAATGGTTTGAAGACCCCTGTCATAAGCACCCAATTATTACTCCACATGAAAAACTCGACTTGATTCTGGCATTAGCATGTTGCCAACAGCACAATATTATATTAAGCATGAAAACCACAGCACATTAGGCCAAATAATATCTAAATATTATCTAGGGTTTCCCTTACCCCGACCACAAAGGAAACATGTGATGCTCATCGAGATGGTTTTTGGTACTTATACCGCAAATATATATTCTTAAGGACATCAAAACCTAAAATAAAACTCCAGAAAGGTGTACAATATGGGACCTTTAAATTTAGAGACAGCACATATCTTAAAACGCTGCCTCCCTAGGCAGTTTCCTTGTTTTAATAACAGAGGCTCTATTTGTTGTTCAGTCTTTGTTCTTTTGCAAACTTTCTTAAAGTTGCTTTCATTGGTAATTGTTGTTTCACTTGAGGCCAGGTGAGGATTGTTTTGTTGGCCTTTGAATTCTCCTCTCGTTCTTCCCGCTTTGGCATCAATAAATGTCTCACATCATTTGTTTGCATATTACAGCGTGCGGAGCAGGCGTGTCAGTCCGTCACTCTCTTTTAGGGAGGAGGGTTAGGACACTTTGCGGTTGAGGCTGACCGTAGCATTATGGGAGCGCCTAGCCTGTGATTACAGATGTGCATGCGGTGCGTGATCTGCAGCCAGAGAGCTCAGCTGTTTGAAGGACACTGACTCTCTCAGGTACTCATGGTCTCCTCTGACCCTCCTCTTGCTGTGTGGCATATTTTACATGCCAGAATACCTCAGTCTCCTTAGAGGTCAACTGTCCAATTACAGTCAGAGTTTCAGCCCGGTCCCCCCGGACAGCCCCCTCCTGTTTCACTCTTCTGCCTGACCTCTCTCTCTGTGACAGGAGATGAATTCAGATGAGCTTATTCAGCTGGTGGGATGGGGGGATATAAGGGTAAATATGAAAGAACGCATGACAGCTCCTCTCTCAAATAAAAACACAGCCTTTCTATCAAGCGTCAGTCTGACGCTTTGATTGGCAGCTGACTTTTAAAATCGTATCTGCATCTCATCAAGGTGACATGCGCTGCTAGACTGTGGAGATCGAAATATTTATAGAATTATAATATTAAATAATATACGGGTTGCATAGTAGCTCATGGCTATATCAGACTTTTCTTCAGGTCAGCATTTCAGATCATATCGCTCAAGTCAATAATGTCATTTAAAATGCACGAGGATTACAAATACTGCTTATCATTGCATGCATGTTAAATGGAGTGAGATGCAAGATCTGTTCTCAAACCTAGTGAGCTGCCTTGCTGCCTACGGCCTACATACAGCAGGCAGTTGACTTCTAAGGCGGCATCCTAACCGTCCTGACAGATTTCTGAAAAAAAAAAAACCCTTTGTGAAAAAGAAGTATGCTTTAGCATACTTTTGAAAAGAATACTTACAAAATAAAATAACATACTTCAAAACAATATATCTACAGGGAAAACTGAATTGAATGTTTTCAGACACTTAAATGCATGTTAATTACAATGAAATGAATGTAATTACAATTAAATGAATTCTAGTTGGGAGTGCTTTTTTGACCCACTACATCTTTATATATAATAGCATATTTACTTCCATTGTCTTTGAAATATGGTTAAAGTGTACTGCCAAATGTACTTAAATCTTATAAGCTAAAATACACTTTAATTTCTATTGAAACTCATGTTTTTACATATATTTGCAATTACACAATCATAATAATAATAATAAAATTAAAGTATTTTACATGTGTTTAGTGTGTTCTACAACAACTGTACTTCTTTAAAGGAAAACAAAAGATTATTAAAACAATGATTTAAAATGTACTTTAAAGTAAAACTTTTCATTTAACATTATTACAAAGTGCACTTGTGTGTGTGTGTTAATTATACTTAAGTGTGCAAAGTGTGTTAAGAAACATCTTCATGAAAGTGTCCTCTCTTTAAGGGCTCTTAAGTGACTTTTAACATTATATTATCTTTAAGTACATTTTTTTTAAAATATACTTTTAAGATTTTAAGTACACTACAAGTGCACATTTAAACAATTAAGCATTCTTCTATTTCACAAGGGCTTTCATTAAAAATATTTATTTTTAGTGAATACTGATGGAGCAACACAATTTGTGTGTAAAAACATGATAACAGAAGACTTTTTTATAAGTATCATCAACAAGTGTTACAAGTGCACATTCCATACAATTAAGAACACTTCTTTTTTACAAGGTTACACAGAAAGCATCCTATTATGCCATATGCGGTAACACTTTATTTTGATAGTCCTCTTTAGACATTGTACTAACTATAACAATCTACTAGCAGTCAGGAGAGTATTATTAGACTGTCCGCTTAATATCTGCTAACACTCTATTTTAATGGTCCATCAACTTTGCACGTACATGACAACTTATTCTACTAACCCTAAACCTAACACTCTACTAATCTGTAATGATCATTTTCAGCATTGCATTATTGCATAAAAGTTCTTCATAATCAATATAACTGAGCTTGTTGCAATATATTCTGAGATTGTCTTCTCAGCGAAGGAGTCATGCGACTCTGCCTTTGTATTTGGCTAAAACAATGCATCTAAGGTTGCCTTAAAATGCTGCCTGTGGAGTCAGCTCATTAGGTTTTGGAACGCAGCCGAGAGAGAGAGAGAGAAAGAGAGACGCTCACTGGGGTTGGGCGGAAAAAGCGTGCAGCTCTTGCAGTGGATGATTTCCTTCACAATGGGCATGTCTTGCGAAACCGGCGGGGGCACAATCCCAAGGCCGGGCATCATGGGGTTCATCGGAGCAATTCCAGTCATCATGCCGAGGCTGGGGTCAAAATCTGCAGGTAAAGAGAAGAGAGGACATCACAAAGGACTGAGTGAATAAAAGCCACTTTAGTCTACATGCTGGTACCATTCTGGTGTGGCACGAATTAAAGCTATGAGAGCTAAACACTCTCCCTCGAAGATAAATAAACAAATAAGTCTAATACATATTTAAAAGGCTTTCCGAATGAATAGGTTTTTACTGACTCATTCCCCCAGCTGTTTGCCTTGGCTTGTTACTATGCACAAGCGGTCCATCTGTGGGCAAAAAAAGTGTACACTGGCTTTCATTTACAGGTATTGGTTTAGACTACAGCTGCATGACAGCGTGGAGCTCTTTGAAATGGAAATGACGAAGGCCTCGCTCTCTGCGGTCTCTCCTGCACCTGTGGAGAGTTTATGCGTCTGTCTAACCTTACTAAGAGCACTCAACTCACACACTTCAAATATTTCCCTTATTTGCAGCCACATAAGATAAACAAGCTCTGCCTCTGGCATTGGGGAAAAAATAGCAAAAAAAGTTCTGAGAGTAAAGATCCATGAGATGTAAATCACACTGTAAATAAACACACCATACTGTAAGTAAATAATGCAAGAACACGTTTCAGGGTTCATATTCAAAGCCTAATATCTCCATATACAAATAATAAAATACATATTTAATATTATAATATAAACTACACTAGATGAGTAAAGTTTGTGAACTAACTTTGAAGTTGGCTTGAGAAAGCCTAGCCTGAAAGTTTGAAGCAACTGTAAAAAGCTTGAAGTTTGAAAGTTTAGATTATCATCTTGATTGGCATGTTGTATGTTGCTAACATGATTAGTATGTTGTAAACATGTTGCAAGCTTGTTTTTAGAATATTAGCATGCTATTAACATGTTGTTAACATGTTTCTAGCATGATTAGTATGTTACTAGTATGAGTAGCATGTTGCCAGCTCTTTGTTAGCATGATTAGCATGTTGTTAACATGTTTCTAGAATGACTATATATTGCTAACATGATTACTGTGTTGTTAGCATGTTTCTAGCATGATCATCATTTTGCTAGCATGATTAACATGTTGCTAGCATGTTTTTAACCTGATTAGCATGTTGCTGACATGATTAGCCTGTTGCTAGTATGTTGTTGATAACATGAATAGCACATTGCTAACATGTTTTAGTATGTGGCTAGCATGATTTAACATGTTGTTCTAGGATAGTCATTAAGCTTTGCTAGTGACAGACAGCTTAAACACTCTGATTAGCATTGCTGTTAGTATGTTGCTAGCATGTTTTTTAACATGATTTAAAAAAAAACATGCCTGAAAAGAAAACAAGGAGAAAAAACCATCCGTATTATGAAACACGATAAAAGGACAGAGAAATCTAGAAACCTAAGCCCAGAATCCACTGATCTCATCTATAACATGCTTTCATATGCTTTTCATTTCACGCTTTCATGATGGTCTGTAAGAGCTGTTGGACATGAAGCTGTCTCACAGGATGGTGGGGCTGGAGCGTGAGGATAAACTCTGAACTGGCAGATGTGTCTGAGCTGTGAGGGTGGCAGGGCCGGAGCAGGGCCTCTCTAGGGGAAGCATTAACAGAAGCAGGACAGGAGGTGCAGCATGTAGACAGAGGAGCTGACCGCCACATCGCCTGCCTTAATGACTCTGTTAGTATTGATATTTCTGTCTCTCAGCCACTAATGGAGGCAGAAGATAAGATGGTCCTCAGTGGTATGGATGCCACGGCTTCTGCTGTGTATTCCTGGACTTCAGGTCTAAATCAGAACCACATAATTAGGGCTTTTCCTGCATGGCCAATTTTTCAGCTGCCACAATGCAAAACTGTAGCCTTCCAAAGCAAATTAAATTATATATGTGACCCTGGACCACAAAACCAGTCATAAGGGATCATCTTGGATGTGACATTTCATCTCGGATGTAATAAGCGACGTACGAAGAACGGGCCCCAGGAAACTGTTGGATCAGTCTTGGCCATCTAGAAGATACACAGTTTGCCATGTCACAGTCATCTCAATCATGCATGTTTACAAGGCAAATGACTCTTGTAAATCTACTAGTGAGCATCAGCTAAGAGCAATTCTCGCTGAGAGCACTTCACAGCCTTGTATGGCTGAGGAGATCCTCCAGCTGTTGCTCACTCCACATTCCCTTTGGATCACCATCAATTGTGATCTCTAACAACATAAGCTCTATGCCCACAGGGAACACGCTAAGACTTACAGTGCCTCCAGACAGCGTGATGAGACTGCGCTCATGTTACTGCTCATGGCCTAGAGAGCAGTTACAGTACAGAGAATTTGAGGAATTCTGCTTGCTTTGCCATAGTTTCTCAAAGATGTTACATAACAGTCAAAAACAATAAAGGGACTCTTGTTGTGACACGTACATGAAGTACGTGTCATGAAGAACAACAGAAACCCGAGTAAGCAAGAGTGGTTTTCCGTGATGAAGCTTTCATGCAAATGTTTGGTTTTGAGGCAGGAATTTCCAAGCCTACTCATGATCTCTCCATTGGTCTTCATTGATCTTGCCAGCTTGCCACTCGACTGTGAGCAAGGCTATTGACATTTTAGTGGCAAGAGATCTCTAGAATGGAAGTCTTAAAGAATAGTTCACCCAAAATGAAAATTTGCTGAAAATGTACTCACTCTCAGGCCATCCAAGATGTAGAGGAGTTTTTAGATGTCACTTTAAAGAAACACGTCTGCACACATACGCATTCCTATAGACTGAACATGTCAATGCCACCTTCCCTGATGAACTGAACAACTTTTATGCTCGCTTTGATCGTGGAAACACAGAACCACCCATCAAAGCTGTGCTCACACCTGACGACCTGCCGCTCACACTTTCCACCAGTGACGTGTGCTCCACCTTGCGTAAGGTGAATGCACATAAAGCTGCCGGCCCTGATGGCATCCCTGGCCGAGTGCTTAGGGCCTGTGCAGAACAGCTGACTGAGGTCTTCACCAACATTTTCAACCTCTCTTTGGCCCAAGCCATTGTTCCCAACTGCTTTAAACAACCACCATTGTGCCCGCACCAAAACATGCTGGTGCAGTGGCCCCTAATGACTTCGGCCCAGTTGCTCTTACTCCCATTATTGCAAAGTGTTTTGAGAGGCTGGTCCTCTCCCACCTGAAAACATGCTTGCCCCCAACACTGGACCCATACCAGTTCGCCTACAAATCCAACAGGTCAACTGAGGATGCCATCGCCTCAGCTCTCCACTCTGCCTTGACGCACCTGGACAGAACCAACACATATGTCAGGATGCTATTCATTGATTTTTAGTTCCGCCTTCAATACTGTGATCCCATCCAAGCTGATTTTTGCACTTCTGGTTAGATGCTAACTGCATTTCATTGGCTCTGTACTTGTACTCTGCACAGTGACAATAAAGTTGAATCTAATCTAATCTAATCTAATCTGATGTAATAGGCGTGTGCATAATGTCACCGTTTTCACTAATTTGCGTTTTTGTAGTTTATACAGAGACTTAACTGTATTGTTTTCAAAAATTTGCATTCTGAAACTTGTTTTCTAAAATTTGCATTTTCAAGCCCTCATAATGCCATTGTTGTGTAAATGAACGGTCAAAAAACATTAAAAAGTTAGATTTTTCGTTGAAAACTATGTCATGTAAACACCTTAATCGTAATAGATTTGGAGAAATATAGCATTGCATCACTTGCTCAGCAATGGATGCTCTGCAGTGAACGGGTGCCGAGTCCAAACAGCTGATAAAAACATCACAATAATCCACAAGCACTTAACTCCAGTCCAGTCAATCATTTAACGGCTTGTCGATCGAAAAGCTGAGTGTTTGTGAGAAACAAATCCATCAGTTGCTGTCAGAACTTTATCAGAACTTCATCAGTACTTTATTCCATCACTTCTGGCTAAAATACCAGTCCATAATCCATAATAACAATTCCTCCAGTGAAAAAGTCCATCCACTGCTGTCCTCTCACATCAAAATCCACTCAGAAACAACGGTTTGAAGTTAAAAACATTCTAATGATTCATTTCTTTATTACAAACACACATGTTAACTGATGGACTGCAGTGGTGTGGATTACTTGTGGATTATTGTGATGTTTTTATCAGCTGTTTGGACTCTCATTCTGATGGCACCCATTCACTGCAGAGCATCCACTGATGAGCAAGTGATGCAATGCTACATTTCTCCAAATCTGATGAAGAAACAAACTCATCTACATCTTGGATGGCCTGAGGGAGAGTAAACTTTCAACTAATTTTATTTTTGCGTGAACTATTCCTTTAAATAATCTATTAGGAACAAGAAAGTCAACTTCATTTTTATTTCAACTGTTGTTCTCATATATTACGAAAAACAGGCCTTGTTTGATTTCAGATATTACAAGATATGTGTTAAATCATTAAGAGAGTCTGATGAAAGGAAAACAATATCTGTGAAAAAGCAGGAAACAAATATTCTCATTAGAAACACATTCACGCCTCAGTAGTGGTCTACTTAGTCTGAATATTTTAACTAGCTCTAAATAAGTAAGGTCTTAATTATACTGAGTTAATTTTACTTACAGCAATTAAACGTAGAGGATTCTGTGCTGAATTTAAAAGACTCAGGATGCTTGGATGATCAATCACATCGATCATTTTATGTAAACATAATTAACAATCAAATGCATTAATTGCAGTTATACAGTATAATCAACAAAGTTCATGCGTGTGGATGAACAGGAAAACCCCTTATAATCATATGGTATTAAAATCTGAAGGGTAAAAAAATGATTTTTCAAAGGATATGGTTTTGAAAGGGAAATATTAATCACAGCCAAAGGAACACAGCAGACTGTGAAAAACTTTCAAAGTTGCACCTTTCGATCCCACATAGAAAACAACCAGAGGCAAATCCTTGTGAAGCTGCATGTCCACTGTGACCAAGCAATGGAGATAAAATGAGGATACAGAAGAGGTACAGCTCAAGGTTTTGAACGCACTGCTGAGAAAGAC